ACTAAAGCCTCTCTCTTATGTATGGTTCTAATTCTTCCTCCTGTCATGCAAGAGATAAGTCTGCTTAAATTTACAGGTGACAGCTGCTGTGTCATACTCTGCTCCACCCCCTTCAACAATTCCCCAAAACTTGCCCACCCCCAAGTTTTGCCTCCAAAGATAGCACAAAGGAACCCTCCTGGTTCCATTCCTTCCCATCTTTTTCTACTTTTCCGTTTTCTTCCATTCTGTTCTTCCTTCCCTTCTCACCTTTCTTTTTCTTCCCTCCCTCTTTTCCCTCTCCCCTCCTCCCTCCTTCTTTTCTCTTAAAGACCAGACACTATTTGAAACACACCTCAGAAACACTGTCACATGACTCCACGAGTCCTAATATCTCTTTAAAAATAATAAGGGTAGAGAATTACATGCAAAATCACAGTGAAAAGTTTGCACTGGGATCACACTCTCCCCACTGCCCCCACGTGTCAATACCTGCCAGACTCAGGCCTCCATTTTCATTTCACCACACACACAGGGGCACAAAATGGAGCTGGGAATCCAGACAATCACTTGGCTCGATTCAGATGACAGCAATTTGGACTAAGGTAGCAGCTTAGAGAAGAGAAACTACCTCATGAGCACGAGGCTTCCTGGTAAGTCTCCTCAGCCTCCACCTGATCACACAACCTGAAGACAGGCCTCTGGCGCTCACCAAGCACAGTGGCTCCAGGCCATCCAGGTTGTGACGTTTCTCTTCCATAAGCTCCAATTGAGATTCTAGAAACTCCCTACCTGCTGCAGGATGATGTCTTTCAAAAGACTAGACAGTTGCAAATGAAAACGAGCACCATCATTGAGAAAATAACTGATGAATAGTATTTATTGCGTGTTATTATCACGCATGATAATGATGGCGTTTTAACCCACTTCCTTCTCGTTTCTATAGGACCTGAAACATATGCATCACATTTTCCCTTTCAGATCACATCAAAGTAAGACTGGACTTAAATGAGTATTTATACACACATATTTGGAGAAAGTGGGCAGCCGTATCCCTACATTTTGCAAAATGATATAATGGGTATCCATAACAGGGTGCAATCATGGCTCTGAGCCATCAGACGAAATGGAAGCTGCAGGCCAGCTGGAGAGCTCACGCAGGCTGAGGAGGGAAGGCCTTGCAATGCCCGCGTGCTGCTCTGCATTCCGCCTGCATCACTCCAGAGAAGGCTAAGTAACACGTTCCCCTACAGAGTCCGCGTCTCCAACGGATGGCCAGCCGGGCTGAAGGAAACAAGGAAGAAGAGGGGCAAATGAAACTCGCCAAAAGGAGCGCGGCCCAGACAGACTCCCGTGGAGAAGACGGCTAGTGTCTCTTGGCTGGAACTCACTGCTTCTGGCCCCGGTTGCAAGCAGCGTCCATCGTGGGCAAAATGAATCCACCCCTGGCCCAGGGAGGAAAGGGAGTCTCTGGGTCAAGTGAACGAAAAGCCAGAGGTGGGGCTGCGTGGAGACCCCAAGACATGAGTCTGTTCACTTTCCCCCTCTTTAGCCTCCGACTCCCTCTGTGGTCCCTCCTAGCCTCGACGCCTTCCAGAGCCAAGAGGGCCGCAGCTCTTGCACCCTCGCAGCAAACCGGCCGCAGAGAGACTTTCTCAATCGAGTCCGGGACTCGAGCCTCGGGAGTCCTGATTGGGCAGCTGCGGATCACATGTCCATCTCTCAGCCAATCCCTGAGAGCAAAGAAATGCACTGGCTGGACCGACGTGGGCCAGCCCGCATTTACCGTTGGGACGGAGGGACGAGTGAGTAATTTCACTCCCACCTTAAATGTTATCAAGGGAAAAGGGTGCAGGTCGGAAAACAAAGGTAGGTAACCATCTCAAGGTAACAAAATTGGTGACCGGCACTGAGACTCCTGAGTACTGAAGGCTCGGTAGGCTCGGTGCAGTTAGAGGGAAGATCAGTTTGAGTTTCTGACTTTTTTTTGTTAATATTTATGTACTTGTGCATACACAACTGGGGAACAGGCCAGAGGCAGTGAGAGGCTTCACCAGAGACAGAGTGGGGAGCAGAACAGGCAGATCGACAAAGTACACTGCAGAGGGGAGTAGCGGGCGGGTCAGGAGAGGTCTGCCCCGCCCTGTGGGTCAGCTCCTCAGCCAGGGATCGAACTCATGCTGAAGCGGCTCTGACTTGCTTGGAGTGCTGTGTCCTAACCTGTTGCCACCAGGGAGGGCCCAGGCCGAGTCTAACAAGTAAGAACTTCATCCCACTCCCTAACGTGGTTCACAGACCCCAAAGACAGGGTAGAGGTCAGTGAAGTCCAGCCCGCTGGGGAGTCTGGTAAGATTTTATAGGGAAGCTGCTTTGCTTTGCTTTTCTCCAAGACAATCAGCGACGCTTCTCTGCCAGCCAGCCATGCAGAGTTGATTCCTGGACAGTAGGCGTTTCCCAGTCTTTGGGAGGCTCAAGTGAGGAGGCTCCAGGCACACGGACAGTAACAGTCCCAGAGTTAAGGTTCCCACCCCCAGCCTTGCCCAGGCCTCCTCCACCTTACCAGTACCACAGGAAATGTGGCTTCATTACCATGATCCCAAATGAACCCACATCCTGTAAACATTAGGGTTCTGCTTTTTTTCAGTCATCATTTTGACCATGACCCTTATCGAAGAACTACAACTCCCAACTTGACTTTGAGGGGAAAAAAAGATGAGGTTATCCAGGACAATTAGACATGAGTTTGTCTTCATCAGCAGTGGGTCCCACACTGAGGACAGTAACATTTAAAATAGTGATTGCCTTTAATTATTCCTGACAGCTTGTAAGTTTCCATGTCTCCTTTATCGACCCTTAATAATGAGACCGTGGTTCTGACTCATTACTTGTGGGGGAGGTTTCCAGCGTGCACTTGTGAAAGTATAGACATTTCTCTGTGATTTTGTTTTATGAGAAGTGCCAGGGATGATCATTGCTAAACCCGTAAATTATGTTGATACCTCTCACAAGTGCTGTATGATTCTTCATGGCAGACAACTGGGAGAGATTGTTCTTAAAGTCACAGAGAGCAGGTAAGAGGCTTCTGACTGGTGAATTCACTTAAGAGGCCACAGAATGATAAAATTTTGGCATTCCTTTGAAGCTAGTCCCCACCATATGGTGATTTCAACTGATGGAAGACTTAGGAATGAGCTATACAAAGAGACCCAGCTTGGTTAAGGAGGAAAGTCACTGCCTACTCTGCTTCATGACCACCCAACCCGCTTGTGCCTGGCCATTCATCCCACAGATGCCTGGTCACAAGCCTAAGTGAGAGAACATGAACCCAAACCTTTCTAAGGAAACCAGAGCATGTCACCACAAATTAGGACACTTTGGCTTAATGAGTCTTTTGAGTTTGAACTGTGCCAAGAATGTGTAAGGTATCCAACCTTCTTCTCACTGTCAGTACCCAATCGCTGGTCTTCAATGAACCCCAGAAACATGTGGGGTTACTACATTGTCAACCCATGGGACCGTGGTCTTTGCCCACAGTTACTGAAAGGCAGAGAGAGACTAAGTCCCAGGAGAGACCCATGTACGTGGGGTTTACAGGAAGACACAACTTCAGAAGCCATCTCAAGGCCCATGATAGGGAATCACCAAGAGTTCACTCCAGAAATGGTAAAAATAAGAAGCAATAGTTTTCCAGACCTTGTCAGAGTCCAACTTCTATCTCTCAGTTCTTTGCATGTGTTGACTTATTTCATTTTCATAGTGACTCCCACGTGATTTGTCATTTCACCATTTTGCAGATGAACCAACCAAGGCTAACAACCAAGGTAAATTGCCCAGGGGCACATAATGGGATTTGGAAAATAAATTTGTGGGTATGAACCTGTGTTCAAGTTAGGATCAGAGGAATTCTAGAGCTTCATGTTTATCTGTACAACTATACTTTCTCAACCAAGACATGGAACTGAGTTAACCAAGGTACAGAGAGTAAGGCACACTGTTCTGAAGAGCAACACGTCACCTACCTGATCCATGTAGCATCTACCCACAGCCATCTGAGAGGGGTGAGATGTGGGCATTGCAGACCTCAGTGGGCAAAACATGCCAAGTTATCTTAGTTTTTTTTTTTTTTAAGACATTTATTTATGCACACAAGAACTGGGGCACAGGCCAGAGGTCTGGGGCCTGAGAGGGTTCACCAGAGACAGAGAGGGGAGCAGAACAAGCAAATCCACTGAAATCCTCTGCTGAGGGGAGCAGTGGGAAGACAGGAGGGGTCTGCTGTGCCATGTGGGTCACTCCCTGGTTTGGATCGAACTCGTGCTGCAGTGGCTGGCGATAGCTTATAGTGCTGCGCTTAAACTCTTGTGCCACCAGGGAGACGCTACCTTGGTTTCTTTAGGTCAAATTAATTTGGACTCTGAGACCCTATCGCAGTACTACTAGCCTGAGAAGAATTCATGATCAGTGAGTTGGGGGGGGGCTGCTGTTACCCAGTGTCCTATATAAAGCTTCAAGGGTCTGAAGAACATTTAAGGGCAGGAGGCCACAATTTTCAGCCCTTGCCAAGCCACTCATGTCCACACTCAGGTCGTTCCCTGGGGGCAGTGATTCTGATGCCTTCTTGCCACTCTGGCACCCATCAAATTTTGTTGAGGATGGGGGCTCCAGGGCCTAGGGTCCCCCTTCTGTCTGGGCAGAACAAAGCCAAATCTCCACCCCTTGCACCTGCCTTGTTCCTTTCCTGAGAACATCATGGCTTCTGGCCACTTCCCAGTGCAGAGATGTTCAGTATTTCCTCAGTGCCTAACCCAGGGTTGACAAAGATGGTGCTTCTCCTGCCCCGCCCTCTGAAGGCTCTCCCTGCCCCCCCAACACCCAGCACCATCCCCACAGGAGCATCAGGTTCCTAGGGCCCTGGGAGAGACACCAGAAGAACAGGACAGCAAAGACTCTCAGGTTAGGGTTTTGGTTTTCTTAGTGTTTTTTTTTTTTTTTTCATTCTCCTTCAGCAGCACAGAAAAAACACAAAATAATATCCCAACAAATTATCCTTCTCTTCCCAAACCAGCCAATGAGCGTTCGGCACTATTTATCTATCTTTTAGCTGTCAGGAAAAAAATAAGAGCATGAAGACAATCGTAAAGATTTCTAAGGTCTTTCTGACGGCAGTGACAAGGTTTGGGAGGCTCCACCCTCCAGTCCTGGGATCATGGGATGGCTTGAAAGGGATCTTCCCCCCTCCGCAAGGCTTTTTGTTCCACAAAAGAGCCTGGTGTTTGGTACAGAAGAAGCTAATCTACTCAGCCTAACATACTCAGCACCCCCAGCTCAGGGCGCTGGGTCCAGAGACACACCAGCGGCAGACATGGCAAGGAGGGAGGAAAGAGCATAGAAGTCCTGGACACAAAGCAATGCAGAGACCCAGAAAAGACACTCGGGACAGAGAGGCCGAGAGAAAAGCAGAGACCACCGCCAAGCTGTAAGTAAACGCCCTGCCCGTCACTCCCCAAACTTAGCTCATTTCAGGCCACATTGGAGAGTTGCTGCGGGTCCTTCGACAAGGCTTTACCTGGTGGGACACGCACACCCAGCCTGATGCCGTCGAGAGGGGGTGGCACTCCCGGCCTGGAGCTGCTCAGCCCAGCGTCGCAGCGGCTTGCATCTTCCCCAATGCCCCGTTACCTGAGCTGCCTGAAAGTGACAGCGCAAGGCATCAGAGACGCCTCTCCTCCCCACAGACCTGGGAACAGGAAGACCCACACAGTCTTTGCATTTGCAAAGAACGAGCTGGCCAAGCAGCAGCTCTGTGCTCAGACTGCACAAAGCCCCTGAACGGGGCACATGTAAAACAACGCCAGGAGCAGAGAGCAGGAGAGAGCAGGACAGCACATTGCTGATACTGTTCTTGCACCTTTTACCAGAGCCCCCCACTCTGAAATGCCGCCTGCTAGCAGAAATGGGACCGTGCTGCCCATTCAAAACCGACCTAGCAAGACTCGGATCCCCCAGGAGACAAAGTGCCTTGAAATGCTGCTGAGCTCCAGGGCCACCAGCCTTCCCTGGCAAGGCCACACAAGCCATACCCTCGGACAGTGGCGGCGACCTCCGCACCCTGGCACTCACGGGTCTTTCTTTCCAGTGGACTGACGTCTGCACTGACTTCCTCCTAACTGCAGTGATTGGGCAAGCCCTGGAAGTGCCAGGCGGCAGATGAGCCGCAACCCCAGGGCCCAGGCCGAGAGAGGCCTCCCATTCCATTTCCAGGCTCTGCACTGAGACCACCGGCCACCCCACTGGCCACGGCTGGAAGACCCACCGCGTCCTCTCCACATGACTTTGCTGTACCGATGGCCACACCAGGTCTTCCAGGCGGGAGGTTTTATTATGCTTTACAACCATGAAGACACAGGGAGGTGGCCATGAGGGCAAACATTTCAGAGACGGGAGCCGACTGCCCTGCACCCACCCCGCCCTGGCAGCCTCCTTCCCTTCCACACGCCCCTCGCGCGGGGATGGTTCCTGGGTCCTTCCTTTTGCAAAGTCAAGACAGTCAGATGCAGACACTTAAGGTATCAGGAACATCATCAGCAGAATGGGAGCGGGATAACTTTGAGAAACGACTGATGAGAAACTCGCCAGAGAAGCCAATCTTGGCTGCTGAGGTGGCAGGTCGGAAGCACCTGCGACTGACGGCCGTCCTCCCTACACGGAGTCATACGGGGCCCTCGGTGACGCCCTCCAGAGGCAGGCTGGGCGCACTGTCAGCCATGGGCGGCTCCTCTTTCTTCATGGCGGTCGAGCCCCGGAGGCTCACGTAGGGTTTGTGACAGGCTGTGTTGGCCAGAGGAGGGTAGTGCTGTCGGTAGCAAACGTAGGCGAAGATGAGGCCGATGACTCCACCCACAAAAGAATCTAGGCAGGAAAAGAGCATTAGCGTTCACCCCCATGTGGCCAGAACTTTCCAGTACCTCCTCTATCCCAGGACACCCTGGAGGACTGAAGGGAAAAGAAAATGTGGGAGGTATGCCTCTCGCTCCCTGCAAACTCTCCTCTGCAGAACTCAGACATCCCTGTCAGATGTGTGCTTGATTCGCTCTCTTCTTTCTCTCTTTAATCTGCACCTGAGCACTGCAGGCTCAGATCTGCCTATGGATTTTGAAAATCAATTCTAAAGGGGGAAGCAGCCCAGCCTCCCCTCTGCAGTCACCAGCCCCCAGGGACCGCCGCTGCCTTCTGGTTCGTGAGTGCCCTGGGCACTGCAGTAAGGCTGAGCCACAGAAACCCAGGGGCACGGTCTCAGCCCCAGGGAGGACAGCTAGGACCCGAGGGCGGGGTTCGGCAGCCATCTTGGGTTTTGGATAGAAAACCGACTTGTTGGGCTGAGGGAGGCACATGGAGCAGAGACCCGTGTGAAGAAACTGCGCTTCCTTCTTCTTGGTCCTGGGCTGGTTGAAACAGACGTGGGTGAGAAACCCAGGGGGAGGTTGACTATGGCAGCGTTCATCTTGGTTTTGATTTTGTTCTTTTCCTCCCAGACTTGTCTGGCCATGTCTGACCCTTTTCTACGGGCCCCCTCTAGAAGGTGCTTTAGTCTTGCGGCAGGATTTCAGGCCTTGCTCTGGGACAGTCCCTTTGGGTGGACTTTGACCCACAAGGGGATGGGTAACTTTGGTGTCTTATTTAGAATCTGTATTTTTTATGTTTGCTATATTGCGCACTGATTGTATTAAAGTTCCTTTCCATTAATACGGTGGATGGCAAAACCTATTTAGAGCAGGAATGTTTGGGGGTTCGGGGGTGTCTCCCTCCCGAGGAGTGCCACTGAGGACAGTGAGGCAGGAGCACCCACCATCCCAGCACAGGTACTGGAGTCAGGGAAGTTGCCCCCCTTTGGAGACCCTCAACAATGAATCCTCATGCTGAAGTGGCCTCACCGGCCCTGTGAGGAGCTACAGTCCTGTGGGGTGCATGTCTGTCCAGCACAGCACCCACTGCCCGTGCAGGGCTGACAGTATCCTGAAGCCTGGTCACACCACTTTCATTTCAAATCACAGACTCCTCACACCCAGTCAGGGAGACACACAAAGGCTGTGGTGGCCATTTTGAATATTTCAGCCCAGTCAAATAACGGCGCCTGTGACTACAGGCAGCGTCCTAGCCTCAGGTTGGAACAGGTGACTGTTGTCTCCCTTGAGACCTGCTCGTGTGAATGACTGTCAGAGGACAATGCTCTTTGTTATAATGAAACACTAGCCAAGATTTCTTAAGAGGACCTATCATTAGCGAAAACGAGTGTTAATGAAAAGCTGGCCTCACATGAGGAAAGCCTAGATCCACACATTGGAAACTGGGGGGCAGAAGGCGTGACAGGACCCTGCTTCTCCCAGCTGTCACTGTCAACTATAAACATGCAGGCTGTGGCCGGAGGCTCCGTGGCTCAGATCTCTTCTTGCTCTCTTGATTTTCCCTACACGTGCTTCCTAGCATGAGATGCCACAGATTTTATTGCTTGAAAACTAGTTAAGTACAGAAGTGAGCCTCAATGTGACGCACTGTGCCCAGCTTCCGGTTGACCCGAGGGCCAGCACAGCGCAGAGACACAAGTGCCTCAGGCTCACAGGAGTGTGGAGTCCGCCCAGCAGGTATTATTTCTAGACAATGTTTCACCTGCCCCTCCATGCCACGGCCTGTGCACCACCTAATAAAATAAGACTTGTGTATCTGAACTGCAACTGGGAAGGTAGAAAAGACCAGAAGGGTATGGACAACAGGAGAGAAACAAAACCAAAAACGTGATAATGGACGGAGCAAGGCGTTGGAGATTATGGGTGTTAACTGGATGTGAATGTGCAACTGAGTAATCGGACGTACTTTCACATCAGGCAGGCACAGTTGCTTCAGTCAGCATGGAAATGCAGTCATCAAATTCTCATAAGATCAGAGCTGTTAGAAGGCTACAACGAGAGGGACTTGGGCTTGGCTGTCGCCGCAGGTGCCATGCAAATGTGTGAGGGGTGATGGCCTCTGCCCACAGGCACTTCAGTCCACCCAAGGAAAGCAACCACTTATTTATCTCCATCAGGCATCCTGCTCCAACACCCACTGACGCTGCAGTCAAGGCCCTCACCGCCCTGCCTCCCCCAAGCTGGGAACCCTGAAGGCCTCCTCAATGTCTCCCCTGATGAGTGAGTGCTAGACACTGCTGCTTCTTCCCACGTAAGAGCCGAGATGCTACGTAGACCAGTCCACACAGCAGGCATTTGGGGCTGGGCAGGTGATCTTGGGTGTCATATGATCGCACCCATGAGATGCCAGGAGAAAGCACCACTCCCACCACCTCTGGCTGGGAAAACCAAAAGTCTCCAGGCCTGGCTCGATGTCCCCAGGAGGTAGCCACCACCCACTGAGAGCTGTGGTGCACACTGCGAAGGTACAGGTGCAGACAGACACCTGTGTATATACCTGTGTATATACCTGTGAAGGAGTCAGGTAAAACGAGCCTGACTCAGCCACTGGAGGATCCAGGGGAAGACAAGCTCCTCTCCTGGCTGAACTCCCAGGCACAGGCTGAGCCGGCAGCGGCACAGTCTGTCCTCAGGCTACACCAGTGACCGGCACCAGTGGACGCACACCCAGCAGTGGCCACAGACGTCCGCAGTGACAGCTCTGGTTCACTCTCAGACGTGGGCCTGAAAGTCACTGAACACAAGCCGCTTGCTGTGCTTTCCCGTAACCCACAGGGCACGAATATTCGCTCCAGTGCTCTGAGGGTCCTTCTGGGCCAGCTGGACAGGCTGGGTCTGCAGCCCTGGTGCCAGCAGGCCTGGGGTGCACCAGCTACCTCGAGTGCACCACCTAACTCCCTCAGCCAAGAAGCACCCCTCATTCTTTTATGAAGCGTAACCACAGCGAGGTACAAGGTCACAAAAGCAGTGAGGACTGAGAATACTTACTGGAGAGAGACTTAGGTCTCAGGTTTTCAGGACAAGGTGACACTACAGAGCCTCTTCCTACCTCCCAAGGTAAAGCAAAAATCAACTCTACTCAGAAACCCTTAACCATCTCCCACATCCAAAGGGGTAGGGTAAAAGTGAAAACCAGATTCACAGCTTACAAACAGACTGTGTTCCCAAAACACCGAGAACTCTAAATTAGTTTCTGGAAAACACAACACATCCTTCTTGCTCAACAACGCAGCAAACAACACCGATTTGCATTTGTGCAATATGCTTTCATTTCTAAAGTACATTCAGATCCATCATTTCACTCAGTCTCTGAAATATCCCTGTGAAACATTTGGGGGCAATTTTTCCACGTTCAGAAGAAGAAACTGCACTTTCCAAGGATAGACGAAAAGCCGTCTACAAAACGCCCTCCAGCCTATAATATTCTCTGTGGAGAAGGGCTTTTCCTATGTGAGCAACAGAGATTCTGGGGGAAACTGTCCCACTTCCAGGGGTGCAGTGGGTCTTCCCTGGAGCGCTGCTCAGCGACTTCCTCCCTGCTCCCTCCTGTCACCTGTTGCATCGTGTGGCCCCATATTATCCAGACCCTCATCCAAGTCACTGATGACAGCAGAGAGGAGCGAGGGCCGGGCCCGTGATCGCTACTGCTGCCCCCACTGGGAGGCTCAGGATCCTGCCCAGCGCCTGATGGGCCCAGACCACCCATCACGCTCTTCCTGTGCCTGGGCCTCACGTCAAGGCCTCTTCTGCTGGAAGCTCATGAGTTCTGGGCAAGTGGAGAGTGGAACTTAGCTGGGAAAGGAGCAGGAGAAGCTGGGGAGAGGCTGGGCACCCACAGATATGAGGCACCCACTGAAGCCAGGGAGTGCCCCCACACCACAGCTAGCAATTCCCTTCATCTCTGACCTCATCTGCTGTCTCATCACTCAAAAACACCTGGAAGATGACAGAACCACAGTTGGCTGCAGAGACAAAAGAGGAGGGAACAGGTAACCCAGGGAGGAAGAGGAGGCGCAGACGCAGACCGACAGCAGGCGTCCCTCCAGGAGGCCGGACATAGGCGCGTCTCCACTTCCACTTATTTGCTTGTAGCTGACACAGTGCAGCTCTTCACCAGTGCTATTCAGACTCCACAGAAATAACTGACTTGCTTGTTACAAACACAGACCCCAGGCTGCTACCCCACAGCCAGCCCCAAGGCCCCTTTCTTAGCTCAGGGTGCCAGACTAAGGTGCCTCGTGCACTGCCCTTGGGAAACTCAGCTCCAGCGCTGGGGCTCCCAGCGGTGACCCTCCTGCGGACACACCTTGGTCTCTGCTCCACCCCCATCTGTTAGAGCAGGTGCAGGCTGGTTTAGTCTCACCCCAGAAACAAGCCCCTCATTTGTCTGTGTTGTGACTTTTCACAGGTCCCCAGGACCCACGCACACAGGTAAGCCTCGCCCAGCCTGGCAGCAGCTGCCGAGAACACTGCAGGCTCGGTCCTTGGCCGGACGCATCCTTTGGAAGTGCGCCCGTGGTGAGAAGTACGTCCTCGTGGCGTGGATTTGAGATGTGAAAGGAAAGACGCCAAAAGCCACTTGGCACGAGTCTAGGAAACCAAGCCAGTGACCCAAGCCCTGAGTCTGACGCCAAGGGCCTGGCATCCTGGCTGGACGCTCAGTCTCCTTGGGCACAGAGGAGAACGAGGAGCTTAGTTCTGTACCCACAGCCCGACGCGAAGGCCAGAACCTACTGGAGCAGCCTTATCTCCTTTAAATCTGTGTCCAACAGTCACTTCTGCCTTCTCTGGGTTACCACACGCTCCGTTCTCCCAGGAGGTGCGTTCCCACACCCTGCTGCGAGGGGCGCCAGGTCGCCCCAGGGCTGGACGGAGGGACTCACCTTGCCAGTGATGCTTGTAGTCACACATGCGGGACAGGGCGATCATCATGGCGCAGTACAGGGGCAAGATGGCGGCACAGAGCCTCCAGCTCTTGCCCCGCCCGCTCTCCGTGAAGCAGTGCAGCTTGCCAGCCAAGTAGAACGTTGTGAAGCCAAGGCCTGAAAAGGCAACTGCCAAAGAGAAACAGCAGGTGTTACCTCGTGGGTGGTGAGAGACGGACACGGGGCATCCTGCCGGCCCTCGCCGCCCCCAGCGCCGGGGCCAGGCTGGTGCCAGGTGCGCCCGCCACAGCCCAGCTGGCGGGAAACTCAACCATGAGCGTGACCTTCCCGGCGGGCGCCGCCCACTCATTCACTCGGCAACGACTTCATGGGCACCGGATGTGTGCCAGCCTGGCGGCCCTCAGGCCGCTAATGGGTCATTTCAATAGAACGATTTGCGTTCCTAGGAAAACACTCTCAGAACAAGAGACCGAGGATGCTTTAGACGCAGAGGAGAACGCGCCGAAGGGCTTCCACCTGGTGGCCTTCACTACCAGAGGGCCTGTTAGCACTACACAGGAGACCGGCAGAAAAGTCAGGGTGACAAATCCCTGTTTTCTTTAAAGTAACGGCTGCAAGACAACTCAGGACTGCGCTAAAAGCACAGTCAAAAGCGCGGAGTTGGGTGTAGCCTATAATTCCCCAGCCCTTCATCCATCAGGCTTAAAACACAGTGAAGCTTAGTGAGATTTAAGGCTGGTCTCTGTGTTCGGACAACGTCCTCAACCCTCGCGCCACAGGGGCTCACCTGCAAATCCTGGGGAGCTTTAAAAGATACGGGTGGTCAAGTCCCATGGGCAGACATTGGGCTCGCTCGGTCTGGCTGGTCCCCCATGGACGCTGACTGGGGGAGGGGTGTGCATGCATGGGCCTGCACGCTCCCGGGTGGTGCCAGGGGCAGCTGGGATTGAATCTCGAAGCCTCTATTGAATGCAGGTGTTACAGGTAAGCTGACTCTGGACACCGCCAATCAAAACTTGCCTTCTGCGCAGCTGCTAGACCAGTCCACACAACTTGGTCAAACATGTTTTGTAAATACCCAAATGCCAACAACTTTTGAGACAGCTGTGGCCTCAGTGCCACCAAATTTGTCACAAATGCAGACGCTCAAGCCCACCCCACCCCCTTGAGTTACAATCTGCTTATCAAAAGATCCACCAGTGAAGTGTGAGAAGGTCCAGCCTAAGGCACACTCATCCTCTCTACAAGGCATCTCCACGCGGCCATTTTAAATAATGCAGAAAACATGGGGAAATCCAGAGGCGATTCTGCTCAAACTTCCTTAGGATTATAGAAAGGATTACAGAAAAATGAAGAATACAGAGGCCAACGGTGACCTGTCCATTCAGTGGCTGTGACAGCCTTGAAAACGACTGTGATTGTACAGCAATGTGAACACACCTGAGGGAGGACACAGTGAGACGCGAAAAAGTATCACCTGGCATGACGGGTTCGCAGTCGTCATGGTTACATAGCAGAAAACAAATCACCTGCAGCTTCAACAAATGCTCTCTGATAAGACTCTTTTTCGAGGGGATTCCCCAGGTAGGACCTGAGCTTACACCAAGGCCCACCTTCTTCAGCCACAAATTAAACAAGGAAGCAGTTTCTAAAAAGCAGAATATAGAAGCAGGTTTATCTCAGCAGTAGAAATGCAGCGTGTGACCATTTTGCATCATTAGCATTCAAATACACGGCTCAGCAGTGCCAACATGAATCGAATGATGTGCTAGAGGAAAAAGACGTGAGAAACTGCACCCCAGCCCCGCTCTCCATGTCTGCTCTGATGAAAGGGTTTTAAACGATTTACGAGGAGCTCCAAGTGGCGCCTCTGGGCACCGTGGGGTCTGACTTTCCATCCTCGTCCACTCTGCTCTTCCTGCGTCTATCGCTGTCTCCCCTGGAGCAGCAGGTGGGGAGGGGGCTCGACGGTTGGGGGCTCTTGTGGGAAGAGAAAGACTCCATCAGGCCGACTGGCAGTCGCACGAGTACAGGAAGCACCCACATTCAGCCCTGAGTCTGTGTAGGGTTAGGGATAAAGTCTCCAAGATTTCAGAGGAGAGCAGAGGCAGGCAGCTCTGAGCTGCCACAGTGGCAGCCCTTGGGGAAAGAGACAGAAAGGAAGGAAAGGCCAGTGGGTAAACATCAGGGACACGTGACGCAGGACTGCCCATGGGTCTGGACAGCATGCTCTGGGAGATTTAGACAGAGGAGACCCAGTTCAAACCAGCCCCAGCAGCTGACATCATGGGATGGCCAAGGGCGGGGGCCACTGAACCCCACATTCCAAGACCTGGGGCATTTGAATCCACACCCTCAGCTTGTACCTGAACACCACTGTGCCCCCCAGAAGCTGGAACGTGGCCAGCTTTGGTGCCAGAGAACGGTGGCTTGTTCTTTGGCGAGCAGGAGAAAGTTCTTTCCCACACGGTGAGGCTCAGGCTGCAGGCCCTCCAGAGAGCTCCCGCAGCTTTGAAAAGAAGGCGGGACTTGGGGCCTGTATGCCTCATTCATTCCTCCAGACATGTTTGTTCACTGTACTTGCTTGCAGCCACACTGGTTCACATCCTATACGCATGAGAAATAGGGAGTCCCCCATGGCCCCCACCCTGTCCTGTTGTTACCACTGCAGGTGTCTCAGCGGGGGCCCTCGGGCACGCAACAGCCCAGACGCTCGCACATCCACACCCAGCGTTACCAGCTCCTTCCTCGCACTCTCCTGGCTTTTTTTTTTTTTTTTTTTAAGATTGATTTATTTGTGCATACAGAACTGGGGTACAGGCAAGAGATGTGGGGTTAGGGAGTGGTGGTGAGAGGACTCAGAGACAGAGTGGGGAGCGGAACAGGCCGACTGACGAAGGACACTGCTGAGGGGAGCAGCGGGCGGGTCAGGAGAGGTCTGCCGCGCCAGGTGGTCACCTCCAGGGCAGGTGGGAATCGAACTCATGGGAAGTGGCTTTAGCCTCTTAGTGCTGCGCTTTAACCCCTGCGCCACCAGGGAGGGCCCTCAGCAGTGTTTTTCAAGCAGCGCCACGACCCTTATCCCAAGCCGACGTGATGGGTTCCAGTTTTATGCTAAACCTGGTGCCTGTCATTTTCTCAGTGACACCTGTACTGCTCTTGACTCTGCATGAATCTGGGACAGGTGAGTGAGGCTGACACCTCCAGATACACCCCCCTCCCCCGACCTCACACACCCTCATGGACTTCTCTGGATTCTTCCTCCAAGGATGACCCCAGAACCCTCCTGGAGCCTGCAGGACAGGGGTCCCTCTGGCCTCTGGGGACCAATAGCTCCCTCCCAGATATGTGGGCGACACCCTAGAGAATAGCGTGGGATGCTCGCAGAATTCCCAGAAAAGGTGAGGTGATAGAAAGGGAAGCGACATCTGAAGAGGGGGCTTATTGCTTACGCAACAACAAGGCAAACCAGTACTCCCTCAATTAATTATTTTAATGGAATCACCGTGAGACACTGAGGGTCCACTGGGTGTCAGGGGGCAAGGGAAAGGGGTGGCGGGTGGCGGAGCCATAGCACATCAGGGGACCAGGACGGGGTGGCTCCAGCAGGCGCCAGGGGGGCCCAGCAGAGGAAGGCCAAGCCCGTCGGGTGGTGCCAAGCTCCCGCCGCCACACACTCTGCCGTTTTCTAGGCCTGCTCTCCCTCATCCCCAGGTCCACAGACAGACACTGGCCCACTTTATGGGGGAGAAGCGAAAGGGGTCGCACTGTTTACCAAAGGCTGATGCAGCCCAAGACACTGAATCACTTCTAAGTGGAGCAAAAAAATAAAAAATCTAAGCACAGCTTTACTTAGCACACACTTGCAAGTCAGCTCTGTTCACTGCTGGCTCCTCTCTTTGCCCCTCAACAGGGGCCCAGCAGGGCCACCGCTGACGCTGGTAGACGCAGCACACAGCCTGGCAGGAGAATTCACTGGCGCAGGGGCCTGCCACAGGCGTGGTGGGGACCACTGGCCACACCGCACACATAACTGACCTTATTCAATTCTCTGGCACCAGACCAAGGCCCTGGGGGCTGGAGAGACATACGTGACCCAAAGCTCGTGTCTTCCATCGTGTTTACAGACAGGTGAGACTCAAATTACTGGAGAGTCCATCCCGCGATGGAAATGATTGTACAAACTTGTTTGAGAATGAGCCGTGGAGAATGCTCATCATCAGCCTGAAAGCAAATGTCAGTCAGGAAAAGCAAACCAAAAAAGATGTAATTCCTCGGTGACCCCAGTTTGCACCTTCCAGAAGGATTTTGTTCGTGACGAAAGAACCAATGCAGACACCATGTAGGAGAGAGCGGAGGAAGCAGCACCCCTGGGAAAGAAGGGGCCGTCCTGTGCCAATCCCCTGCGGCCCGGTGCCAGCAAGGGTCAGGAGAAGCACCTGCAGGGGACGGAGCCAGGTTTCTGAGACTACAACGTGGGCTCCCTCCCTACCCCCCACTGCTGGCTCAGTAAGGAAACATCCTTACTGAGATGTGTTAACTGTCCCCAAAGCAAGGTGCCAGCAGTCACATAGGCGGGATTGTCCTGTGTCGTGGCGAGTCCCCGTCTATGAAGGACGGGGACAGCTTTTGCATTTTGCAGCCTTGATTATATGCACAATGATCTAAACATAAACGCCAGAGTGAGCCTTCAAGGGAAGGAAATCACCTTTCCCGCGCTACCAGGGAGCTAATAAAAGCAAGGGGAGGAGCCTGATAATGTTTTAATGGAAACTAACTTTATTTTATCTCCAAAGGCTTTAACAGAACACAAATCTGATGAGACTTGCAGAGAAATGCCACATTTGAGCAACAACGAAAAAGACAGGGGGCGCTTTTCCCACGTGCTCAGCCGTCACCTGTGCTTGGGCGCAGGGACTTAGGAGCCCTTGAAGTCTTACGACGGTCACCGCCCAGTCGCCTTGCCGGAGCCTGCCTTTGGTGAGGTGGGAGTCCACCTGCAGTGGATTTCTCAGGGCAAAACCGCCTTTCTAACCTGTCCCTGGGAGCTCAACTGCTCAGCAAGGAAACGTGAAACAGAATTGGTATCTATGTGTCTGTCCACTTCCTGGAACAGAGCTCCTGGAACCTTTGTAAATTCCCAATTCCCAGAGCACCGGGAGCATCTC